AAAAAAAAAATAAAACTAGCAGTGCCGGGGGGCCTGGGGGGCTCAGTCGGTTGAGCGGCCGACTCGATTTTGGCTCACGTCATGCTCCCAAGGTCGTGGGATCGAGCCCCACATGGGGCTGCATGCTGAACGCGGAGCCTGTTTGGGATTCCCCCTCTCTCTCTTTCTCTCTCTGCCCCTCCCCCACTCTCTCTAAAATAAAGAAACATTTAAAAACCTAGCAGTGCCCTGGCACCCTTTACTCCTTCACTCTGAATTTTCCTCCATAGCATTTACCTGCTCCTGACAGGAGCCTATTGCTTTGTTTTTGTCATCCCCACGAAAAAATGAGTGTCGAGGGGCAAAAGCTTTGCCTGCTTCCCTCTCTCCTGTATCCCCAGAGACTGGAAAAGGGGCCAACACGTAGAAGGTTCTTGATAAATATCTATTAGATAAAGAAAGCGGAAAATGGGCGAGTATTTCCTGAGCACCTGTTATCTACTGGTGAACTAGGTAAACGGCAGCCCTACCCTCAAGGTGCTCGTATTCTAGTGGGAGAAAAGGAGGAGATGTCACACTAGTTCCACAGTTCACGCGCCGCAGAGCCAAAGTGCATAGTGCCGTGCAAGCCTGCGGCAAGGGCAAGGTGCTGACCTTGTCCGGGAGACGGCGATGGCTCCCGTGTGGAAGACAGGATTGGGCTGAGATCCACAGGATGAAGAGGGGCAGCCAGGTAAAGAGGGCAGGGGAAAGAGTCCTGCCCAGCAGAGGGACTGGTCTGAGCAAAAGCCCTGGGAAAGAAGGAGGGTGGCGTGAGGCTTGGCGGAACCAGGGTGGTTGCCATGAGGAACATTCAGGGAGATGAGGGTGGACCGCCAGCAAGCCAGGTCACTCCAGAGCTTGAGGGCCAAAGCTTGTTCTCACCCGCGGGGCAGTGGGAGCCACCCGATCCGCCCACGGGAGGAAAGGGTTAACAAAACCTTTTCCTCTTTTGCATGAGAATTTGACCTTTGGTTAACTATCTAGCTCTGTTTCCTTGGAAACAGATAAACATATGTCCACTATGTTACTAGGCAACATTGCCGTGATAAAAATGACCCCTGAGGAAGAGGCTGGAATGATCCATATGGTAATTGATGAGAATTGGAGGTATCAGGAGTATGAACTCATGAGTAGCTTAATTTAGATGCAGAAGAGTACATATAGAAATGTTTGTAAATATGTGTGTGCACCCAGGTGAGTACACAGGTGTACCTGTCCTGTCTCTATCAGCTGCCTCTATCTCGTTCGCCAACGCCTCTATCTCGTTTGCCAACGTAAGGAACCAGGGAGAGACAGCTGATGCTGGGCCTGGAAGAAGACATATACAAGATGAGCAGAGAGTGCCTTAGAGTGCCAGGAAGGAATACAATACAAAGAAAAACAAAAAACAACAAACAAAAAATACCCACACACACAATACATAAACATACACACACACTCACACACAATGATGGGGTGTGTCAAGGGGTACAGGGAGCAGCTGAAAGAGCTTTCGAAAGCTGAACAATCTTGATCAAATAAAATAAAGTACTATTGGATGATAAACGTAGAGTATGACAAATGAGAAAAGGGGAAGAAGTGATCCATCTCCCACACAAAATTTCAAAGGTGTAGATACTCCACCCCCAAGGAGGGGGAACATAAGTCCCCAGTTAAGTGTAGGCTGAGCATGGTGGCTTTTGGGGAGCACAGTAGGAAGAGAGTGTAACTTTACAGGGGAGAAGCACGACACACTGACTACCTCGGCCACATGTTCAAGGTCAACATCAACAAATCGCGTTGCTGGCGTGTACCCTTGATTGAATGTCAACAGAATGGCCCTTTACCTCTGCGTTCTTCCTCCCATGACCCACAACCCCAGTCTACTTATGAGAGGCACATCAGACAAATCACAATTGAGGGACGTTCTACAAAACGCCCCACCACTTCTCAGAACTGTGAAGGTCATCAAAAACAAGGAACACCTGAGAAACTGTCACAGCCAAGAGCAGCCTAAAGAGACAGGTAGTGTGGTTTCCCTAGTGGTATCCTGGACAGAAAATGGACACTAGGTAAACACCAAGGAACTCTGAGTAAGCGTGGACATTAGCTAATAATAATGTATTGGTTCATTAATTGTAATAAATGTCCCATATTGGCTCCCATGAGGCATGAAGCTTTTAAGTCAGGATGGCTCCTGCTCTCACTGTTGGGATCTCATCTCCTGGTACCTGTGCTTTAGTCTGCCGGGTTGGCAGCAAGGACCCCCATGGAGAGAAGTGCCTGGTGCTGGCATTCATTGAGTGCCTTGCCAGCAAGCTAAGGTTCCTGTCCTATATCCTTCAGAGTAGGTCAACGTCAAGTGTGGCTCAGGGTCTTCTGTTGCATCTGAGTGTGTAGCTGAACCTGAGAATACCCCTTTTGCCCACTGCAGTGAGTGATCAGCCAGAGAGTGCTGTGATCAGATCTGCATTTTAAGAACGTTCTCTCTTTGGCGGCTCCCAGGTGCAAGGGGACAAGAGAGAAAACAGAGACCCTTCAGGAGGTTATTGTGGTCGTGTTGACGTGCCACAAAGTTTTCAGTTAGTTTCCTGTTTGTGCATCTATCCGGTGATACTGAGTCTGAGAAAGCACGAGAGTTCTTCTAGAACATTAGAGGATCACTTAATCTAGAATTTTTCAAAGGGTAATGGTGCATAACATGATTTTAGGTGTTCCGTAGATAAATATGTTTTAGTTACATGTTGCCGTGTAACAAACCATGCCAAAACGTAACAGCCGAATAGAAAATCACCATATATTTGCTCAGTTTCGCAGCTTGGGCTGGGCTCGGCAGGGACAGCTCAATCCTGCTCTCCATGGTGTTGGCTGGAGTGGTCCAGACAGCTGGGAGCTGGCCGGAAACACTCAGACATAAGCATGTATGTGGGACTTGGTTCTCCCCGTCAGGTGTCAATCAGCCGGATTTTTCTGTTCTCTTCCACACGGTCAGTAGGTAATTAGCTAGGGCTTCCTCACACAATGGTGGTCTCAAGGTGGTCAGAGATTTGATATGGCCCTCGACTTTCCCCCGCAGACAGAAGAAGCTGTTAGAGCTTCTTGAAGCTGAAGGTTGGAACAGGCCCACGGTCACTTCTACTACATTCTGTTGCTTTAGTGCAGGTCACAGTCTAGGCCAGATTCAAGGGGAAGGGGTCCTCTTGGAGTAAGGATTCCATTTCCCAGCCTCCCTTGCAGTTAGATGTGACCAAGTGGACAGTAAGCCATTAGACTATCAGAGAGGTAGTGTGTTGGCAAAATGCATTGGGGGGGGGCGGGGGTATTGAGAGAGAGCATGCACACATGTGAGAGCGGGGGAGGAGCCGAAGGGGAGAGAAGCAGAGAGAGAGAGGGAGAGAATCTTAAGCAGGCTTCATGCCCAGCGCAGAGTCTGACACCGGCCTTGATCTCACAACCTGAGCCCAAATCAAGAGTCAGACACTTAACTGAGCCACCCAGGCGCTCCATGTGTTAAGTGTTCTTAAAGGAAGTGGGTATGCCCTCCTTCTTCTCTTTTGTTGTTCCTGCTGCCAGGATGGAGACCTGATACCTGGGGCTTATGCAGCCATCTTGCACCATGAGGTAGAAGCCCGTTAGGATAGAGGAGAAACAAAACTGAAGGAACCTGGATCCCAGATGATCATGGAACAACCAGCCTGGGAGAGTTCCCCAAACTTGTATTTGTGAGAGAAATAAACTCCTATCTTATATAAACACTATCAGATGGGATTTTCTGTCGTTCAGAGGAACTATTCCTCTCTAATACAGTTGGTTTAAAGACAAATACAGTATAAATAAATCACTGTGGAGGTAGCAGGCAAAAATTGAGAAGAAAGTGCATGAGTGGCTGAAGTTTGAAAAAAATACCGATCCAAGTGAGAAAACTCTGGAAACAGCCTGTAGTGCGTCTGGGGGGAGATATGAAAGAATAACCCAGGTAAGATTGAGGTTTTGCTGGGAGGAAGGAGGAAGGAAAAGTGTTCCTGGAAGATATAATAACATTTAACAGACGCAGAGATAATCGTAATGAATTACTTGTGTGTTTGACAAATGGTTACATAACCCTCCCCAAATGCCAGACACTGTTCTAAGTGCTTTACAAATATGAACCCACTTAATCACCTTAACCACCTTATCACATAGATGCTATTATCCTCCATGTTACAGTGAGGAAACTGAAGCCCAGAGAAGTTGATTACTTGCCCACAGACCCACAGACCTTGAACTCAAATCCAAACCTCAACTCAGTGCTCATAACCGCTGTGCTGGGTCCCATCAGAATTTATTTTTTTAATGTTTTATTTATTTCTAGGAGAGAGAGAGAGAGACAGCATGAGCAGGGGAGGGTCAGAGAGAGAGGGAGTCACAGACTGAAACAGGCTCCAGGCTCTGAGCTGGCAGTCAGCACAGAGCCCGACGTGGGGCTCGAACCCATGAACCGCGAGATCATGACCCAAGCGAAAGTCGGACGCTTAACCGACTAAGCCACCCAGGCGCCCCCCCATCAGAACATTATCCCCGTTTTTACGTTTGGAACAATTCGCCGAGTGCCGAAGAGAAAAGAGATGGTCTGCGGTCACGCTGAGGGTTTGTAGAAGTACAACCAGAACCGAGGGCCTCTGACCTCCGTATTGATCTGGGGATCTCAGACAGACTTCAAGTTCCAGGGCTGATCGGCCATGACCTACGGTCCCCCACAGCATTCACTTTTGTCAATCTCTGGCCACCCTGCTGAGTTCTGGTGTTTGGGTTTGTTCACGTGTTTTATATTTAGCCTCTAGTACCAACCTCACCTGGTTTTCCTGGAACTCAGATGCTTGTATGGAGTGGCTCTGATTTCACGGTAATGGGACACTGTTCAGGGATTGGAGGAAATGAGGTGGTGGCCGTGTAGGGGGGGAGTCCACACCCCCCTCCCACACACACCCCTCTTCAGCCAGCTCTGCCTCTCCACCTGATCAGTCTGAAGCTCCTGGTCTTGGGGAGTGAAAAACCTGGATGCTGTGATTTCTCCCTACCCTGAAGAGAAAAAAGAAGGGGAATGGAGGCTCATATCCCCAGGCTCTGCAAAAGTAAGCCCCTCCACCTGGCAACTCGGACGGAGACCTCGTCTTCTCTCATCCACGCGCCATTCTCCCCAGGCCGGCACAGGCTCCCGGCCCCGGAGGTACTGGGTTAGCTGTATTTAAAGCACCTGCTTGGGGGAGAGTGGGCCCAGGAAGAAAGGAAGTGGAGCCTCAGTGGAGCACCTCCTGCGTGCCACCAGTCCCCGAGCTGGGTCACGTTCCCTGGTCCCAGGACAGCTTAGAGCTGGAGCTCAGTCACCGGGGGAGGGAACCGGAGCTCGGAACAATCAGACAACTTGCCTCGGAGTCTCATCCAAGGCCAGCCTGGGTCAAGGTCAAGGGACTTTCTTCCCACTGTCCCATTCTGCTTCACCAGAGTCTCCACCACCTCATCGGGGGCAGGGGCCACACTCCCCTGACCTAGGAGGTAGGGATGTAGGATGGTGTACTGGACACCCGGGCACGGGACAGGTGTGTGTCAGGCACTTGTATACCAGGGGGCTAGTATACCCTGCACAGGACACTCTGTGCCCAGGTGTGCTCAGAAAGAGGTGCACGTGACTCAAGTGGTCGGGTGCTCGCGTGTGCTTGCCTGGTGGAATGGGGGCGTGGAGGGCTTGTGGGCTGTCACAGTGCAGACGCTTCTCTCTGCTAAACTCCCACCTCATTTGGATTTTGAAAATTGGGGATGAAGACAAAGGTGCCTAGGATACACGAAAGGACAGCCCCAAAGGGTGAGTAGGGGTCGGGCCCTAGGGGTCAGGCCTGGAGGAAGAGCTAAATGGTATCTTCGAGCCCACCTGCCCCACCCAAGAGCTGGGGATAACTGCTCATGTACCTCGGGGCAGGTCATCTCGTATTCTTGCCTCTCAAGCTCCCTCTCTGCCCAGTGAGCATCAAAGACACCCTCCCTCCACTATGGCCTTCCCAGAGGAGCCGAGCAGGTCATGAACGAGAAAACATGTGTAAGGAAATAAAATATATGGGGGGGAGGGGAGATTATGGAAAGGACCTGGCGAGGGAAACCAAGGGCCTGGCTCCTGCTGTTATATTTTTAGGACACTGGCTTGACTCCTGTAATAAAGAGACCCCAAATAATCGTGGCTTCAATAAAACAGAACTGAATTCTCTCTCATGTTAAAGTATACTTCACAGTTAAGGCTGGCTGGTGGCTTCTCCAATCACAAGAGACCCAGGTTCCTTCCATCTTGTTGCTCTGCCATCTTCTACCTTGTGGTCCAAGATGGCTGCTCCACCTTCAGCCCTTCCGCCCACTGACTATGTCCAATCTGAGGGAGGAGGACCAGGGGACGGGGCAGGAACCTTCCTCCGCCTTCTTTTTAAGGCACAACCCAGAAATTGCACATTTCAGTTCCCTTCATATCCCATCAGCCAGGATTTAATCACGTGGCCACAGTTACCTGCCAGGGAATCTTGGAATGGAGTCTTTTGCTGTGTGTGAATGGAAGAAGGGATATTGAGGGACACCTTGCTTTGCCACAGCTGCCGACTTGTGTGGCCAATTCACATCTGCAGGGGAGCACCATTTCTTCATCTTCAAATTCATTCACTCATTCATTCATTCATTCATCCATTCATTCAATATCTGTCTATGTCTGTGTCTATAGCTACATCTGTATCTATGTCTATTTGTATGTCTATATCTATATCTAATTTATATCTCTCTGTAGATCTATATCTGTATCTATATCTATGCCATTCTTGTAGTATAGAAAACAATTTTTGAACAACCTGATTGCTAATGGGTCTTCTTATAAGCCCCAGAGTCTGGTGCAAGGTCTTTCTTGATCGCCACTAAATACCCACAATGCCCAGTGTAGGGTTTGGCTCACGGAGGCCCTGTTATTAGCTGCCTGTGGATGACAAATGGATGGCCATTCTGGCTTTTGTATTCAGTGAAGACATTTCCCCCCACTCAGGGATGTAAGCTTTACCCTTTGCAGGCCTCCTGGCTCTACCAAACGTATCCCTGTGTGCCAAGCCTTGCAGAGCCTGTGAAGTAAAATGTGCTAGGAACCTGAATCTTGAGGGTGGGATTTAAAATCGGTGAAAGTGCATCAAAACAAGGTAACCATGAGAAATGGCTTTCCAGGGTAATCAGGCATCCATGCTAAAGGCCAAGGACAGAGTGTGAGATTCTAAGGGCCGAGTGCTCCTATTCATACCACTACTGTGTCAGGCAGAGAACCTACGAGGCCTGCCCAGGGGGACAGCACATGGCTTGGCTTGAGCCCCTGCACGACCCCCCACTACTTTGAGACATCAAGCAAGACCCTCCCATGCAGGTCAGGGAGGACAGGTTCTAGTTCCCACCCGGTTGCTTACCTGCTAGGTTGATCCTAGGAAATTCCATGCCTCTTTGAGCCTCAGTTTCCTCATCTATAAAAGAGGTTAATAATAGGATCTATCTATTACCAACTATGAAGTGCAGATAACAATGGTACCTACGTTATAGGCAGAAGGTCACTTAGCATCTCAGTAATTTAAAAAAAATTTTTAATGTTTATTTATTCTTGAGAGAGAGAGAAAAAAAAAAGCATGAGCAGGGGAGGGGCAGAGAGAGGGAGACACAGAATCCAAAGCAGGCTCCAGGTTCTGAGCCATCAGCACAGAGCCTGACGCAGGGCTCGAACCCACGAAACGTGAGATCATGACCTGAGCTGAAGTCGGACGCTCAACCAAGTGAGCCACCCAGGCGCCCCACTGTTTTGAATCTCATTATACCTAAGATGGAAAGGATGAGGTCCAAGTTCATATACAAAGTTTAGTAGAGCTGGGGTTAGAACCCAGGTGTCCTGGCTTCCTATATGACCCCCCTTTTCCTGCCTGGTGCATCTCATGCTTGCAAGGAGCCCCAGGTCCCTCCTCCAAGCCAGTGGAGCTCCTCCCCTTTCCTCAGTATCCAGGCTGTGCTTCCCCACTCCGCTGAACGCCAGCTTGGAAGAATTCTGTGCAGTACTTTCCTTGTACGGAGTTGGCCCAGCGCGCCTCCCTAGGCCCTGTACTCACTCCCCTAGCTCTGTTTTCTGGGACTACTCTGAAGGTGCACTCTTTTTTTCTTTGATTTATACACATTTGCTTTCATTTTTACTTCTACAAATTCTATTTAGTTCTTTTTTGAACCCACCTCTTTTTACTGTTTACTTATTTTTAATGTTTATTTATTTAAGGTTTGTTTATTCGGCTCATGACCTGAGGCAAAATCAGGAGTTGGACACTTAACCAACTGAGCCACCCAGGTGCCCTGAACCTGCCTTTTTATAAGAAAAATTTTGTTTAATGTTTATTTCTGAGAGAGAGATATAGAGTGTGAGTGGGGGAGGGGCAGAGAGTGAAAGAGACAGAGAGACAGAGTCTGAAACAAGCTCCCCCCCACATGGGGCTCAAACCCACCAACCGTGAGATCATGACCTGAGCTGAAGTTGGATGCTTAACCGACTGAGCCACCCAGGCACCCTCTGAATCTGCCTTTTTCATCGTGCTTTTTCCTTATGTTTTTATTCTTTCTTGTACGAAGTTAACTCTTTTCAAAATACTTTGTTGTTACCTTCATCTGGAGTTTCTCAGAAAAGAGGGGCCTAAGCCTGCTGTGGATGGCGTCTACTGACTCTCACTTACGGTTAATGGTTTCCTTGTGCATCTCACAATTCCAAATTCTGAAGTCCTCTGTAGGGAAGCTTTGTGGACAGATTGTGCAGCCTGGGTTGAGGGCAAGTCCCTCTGAAATGGGTTGAGTTTTGCTGGTCCCCTTAGCTCTTTATCTGGGACCACAGTGTTAGTTCTTCGTTTGGGGTACCTTGTTCATGTGGATAGAATAAACTATTAAACTCTATGTGGGAATAGATCCTGTTTATTTCCATCATAATATTAATTTGATTACTGTGTTTTCCATCCATGATGACATGCTCCAGGATATCTGATTCGGGGACACATCCCCAGAGCCAAGAGCAGAACTTGGCACATAGTAGGCACTCAGTAAGTGTTTGTTGAAAGAAACAACTGAAGTATACCCACTTCACAGTGTGTTGTGAAGAATAAACGGTGTGTCTGTTGGCCTGGGTTTGCCCAATTAAAAAGGAGGTTTTATTGTCTCACATGAGAGGCAGATGCTGTTGGTGATTCTGTGACTCAGTGGTTTCTAATGTCTCCACAATTTTTTCGATCTCTGCCTTAGGTTGCAAGGGGATTGCCAAGCTCCAGGCATCACATCCACATTCCAGGATGAAGGACTGGGAAGAAAGCAGGAGTCCAAGGGGAGCTTCACTGACATTTTTTTCCTGTATCAGGAAGGTAAGTTTTCCTAGAAGTCTAACGCAAATGTCTGCTTTGATCTCCTTTTCTAGAAATGGGTGGTAAAGACACCCCAGAAGCAAGGGGACCCGGGAAGTGAAGATTTTCCTTTTTCTAGACTCTCTGGAGAGCTGAGGAAGGAGGGAGGGCATTAGGGACACAGATGCATTATCTGCCCCATGTGGGATCAGTACATGTAAACCACTTAGAGCAAATCAAGCCTTCAGAAAGAGGCACCTAGTTTCATCATTATTAATTAATAATTAATAAAATATTAATAATTGTTATCATTTAAAGCTCTATAGTCACTGTGATCCTGTTGGCATCAGACCTAGGATTCTGGATCCACTGGGCACTGGTGCCCATACCCCAGTGGCCTCTCTCCCTCCCTCCTTATACTGTTCAGAGCACTGAAGCCCTTTAAAAAAAAAAAAACAACTACACTTTCCAACGTAAGCCACTCCCTGCTCTCATTAACTCTATCCTCAGTGACTTAGGCAGCCCCTGCTCCTTGCCTGAAGCAGGTAGGAGATCACACAGATCAAAGGCCCCTCGGGCCCATCACCAGGTCAGTGTCAAGGTCTCCTCCAAGGACGCTGAGATGAAGACAGCAGAGGAGCCAACCCCAAGCCTTGGGCAGACCCTGGAGTGGCTGAGAAAGGAGCTGGTAAGACCTTGCATGTCTTTGTACCTGACAACTTTGCCCGTATCTTCCCAGGTTCCCTGCGCCCCCTTCCTAGGGCCCCTTGTCTGGGGCAGAAGCCCCAACCAGGGCATAGGCCACTCAGGCTCCCCTCTGATACCAGCCGTGAAGTGCATAATCGCTGTCCCAGGTGCTGGCGTAAGTAGGTCGTGGCCTACATAGGAGGAGGCCGTGGGTGCAGTGCTGGCCAGACTGGCCTTAGAATTACACCGAGTCCTGGGAGTGTGCCCAGCCCTGCTGCTGTGTGCCTCTAGCAAGTGGCTTTACTTCCGTGAGCCTCAGTCTCCTTACCATTAAAATGAGAGGACAATAGTAGCGACATTGCAGGGGTTACTGTCACAGTCTGGTAAGGAAACGGGTGTGATTCACTTAGTGTCTGCTTGGCTAGCACAATCCTCCCCCGGGTGGACGCAGAGCACACCCAGTGTCCTCACCCGGGCCCTCTAGAGAGCAGAAACCCACACGAGGAGGCGCAGCCCAGAGTGGTGAGAGCGAGGGAAATAGGGGGAGGTGGCAAAGAGCGATGCCATGGGAGGCGATGCACTGTGTCGCTAAGCAGGCCACCACTTTGGAAGGAACCTCAAGAGGCAGCCGGCTCCTCTGCAGGATGCAGGAGTTAAAGGGGATCTGCACCCTGGGGGAGAGAGGGGGAGAGGTGGAACTCGACCTGCCCGGCTCCCTCCTGTCTCCTGTTTCCTGTGGGTAAAAGTCCACCCTGTGGGCATTACCCCTCCTGAATTTATGGATTATGTTACTTGGTTCCTTCATGGCGGCTCAGGAAGCCAGGCCTTATGCCCCTCTGCGTGCTGTTTTATCCAAGTCCAAAACCAGGGGTATGCCCCCAAACGCATGGGGACACCAGCCAAGAGAGAGAAAGAAGGGGTTTGAGGAATCTCAGAAGGCACCCAAGGTTTGGATCCCAATAGGCCAGCTTTTCAGTCAGGGGAGAGACAGGTGGGATTGTCCAAAAATGACCTTTCTCGGCTGCCAGGTGACAGACGAGCTGGGACCCAACCCTGTCCTCACCCCCAGTGAGAGAGGTTGACCCAGGAGGGCTTCTCATGGGACCATGGGACTCCATCAGTGGGAGCTGCAGCTTCTCACAATCCCCAGAGATCCCGAGGCTGGGCAGGGGCCTTCTCCATGCTCCTCTAAACCTTGGGCACCCACACTGAGTCTGTTTGGTGCCTGAACCCAAAGGTCCATTTTCCATCTGATAAGGCACCTCTCTCTCTCACCACGTAAACAGGAAAACCAAACAGGGCTGGAGGAAGCCCACCTAGGGCACAGCCTCCCCGGCCCAAGCACCTCCCTCCACATGATGCCAAGAGATAGGAACCTTGAGTCTCCACCTGCTGATCCCAGTCTTGTAAATTGCCCAGTCGAGCCCATTTTATCCTCTGTCATGTGGATTTACATAACTCCATATCGACACCTCTGGAGCCCAGCCAAGAGGCTCCACTTGACCACCAGGGAAGGATCAGCATTGGACAGTGACTTGAGGCAGCAGAGAGAACAAACTGGTAACACCCAGGGCTCTCCCTCCTTCCATGGCCCTGACGTGATGGGGATCCCAGAAGCCCCAAACATCTGGTGAGATCTAAAAGAGGGGAGACAACTATAGCCATCTTGTGACCAAGCAAACCAGTCTGATGACTAAGGGGCATTCATTTCAGAGGCAGGAAAGACTTTCAGCCCACAGGACGTCTCACCCTGTGAATGGGACTCCTCTCTCCTGTTGAAGCCAGTTTGCTCAGGGTTTCCGGCCCTCAAGTCCAAAGGCATTGAGTCTACCACCTCCCTTAACACTTGCTTCCATGCTGCATGCCTCTGGGAGCTGGTGCTAAAGGTTGGATGATAACGTGTAGGAGGAAAACCCTAAAATTAAGAAAACACAGACTTCAGGTTTCCCCCAACATTAAAGGGGTGGCCCTGCTACCACTCACATTGCAGCCTGGGGAGCCCCCGTGTTCTCGGGCGGTGATTTTCCCTTTATCCACTCTGTTGGTACTACTACTGCTCGCCTGTAGGAAATAGGCTTTAAATTCACATTTGTGACGTAATTAATTTTGTCATGAAAACAAAATACTATCCTAATGGAGAAATAATGTTTTTTTATATATATTTATTTGTTTTTGAGAGAGAGACAGAGAGCAAGTGGGGGAGGGGCAGAGAGAGGGAGACACAGAATCCGAAACAGTCTGCAGCTCCGAGCTGTCAGCACAGAGTCCGACACAGGACTTGAACTCATGGACTGTGAGATCATGACCTGAGCCGAAGTCGGGCGCTTAACCGACTGAGCCACCCAGGCAACCCGAAATAGTGTTAATAATCATCTCTTGGAGAGACAGACAGACGGACAGACAGACAGAAGGGACGCCATTCCCAGTGGTGCCTTTTGGGGGAGCAGACTGAATTGCAGCATGGGGTGGGATGACTCCAGGGAAACTTTTCACCACATGCCCCTTTGTAGCTTTGCAATCTTGTATTGCGTGTAAACATTACCTGGTCAGAAAAGTGAAGTTTTAACATCTTATTATGTGAGTTACACTGACCAGCGATGACAGAATGAGAAACCCAAACTGAGAAATGCTAAGTGTTTACTTAATGCATTAAAAAAAAAGAAAGAAAGAAAGAAAGAAACAATTGTAGGGGCACCTGGGTGGATTGGTTGGTAGGGCGACTAACTTCAGCTCAGGTCATGATCTCACGGTTCGTGAGTTTGAGTCCCGCGTCAGGCTCCATGTTGGAAGTGCAGAGCCTGCTTGGGATCTTCTCTCTCTGCCTCTCTCCCACTCGTGCTCTCTCTCTTTCTCTCTCTCTCTCTCTCAAAATAAATACAACTTAAAAAAAATAGTAAGCTTATTACAATAGAAAACTGCTGGATTCTCTTATCCGCTTATGCATGCAATCAGATCCCACATCACACGTCATGTAGCTTCTGGAAAATTCCACTATATGTTCATAACAAGATGGAAGTGAAAGGGCCAATCGTGTCTTACTATTGTAGTGAAAGTAGTTTTGACCTCCCTGACCCCCTGAAAGGGTTTTTGGGATCCAAGGGTTCCCTGGACCTTACATTGAGAATCGCTGTTCTGAAGGTCTCCTGCCCACCTGCAGAGTTTACTCCACCTTGTTTTCATTCGAAGTCACTTTCCCTTCAGTACCTATAGAGTGCTTTGTCTGTTGCAGTGAGGATTAAAGCATAGAGCAGGGCTGTTAATAAGAATAGCTTTCAACACTGGTGGTGGTGATGATGATGATGATGATGATGATGATGATCACAGAGCCTGGTAGTTGTGTATGTTGTATTCTAGAGCCTGGGCTAACTCATCCAGTCCTCCTAAGAGCCTTGCAAGGTAAATAATTGACTTTCCACCTTGCAGATGAAGAAACTGAGGCTTTGGCGGACAGGGTTTCTGTGAGGTTGTGGGTTTGTGTCCAGTGAGACAGTGAGGGGAACGGGCTTTCTGGGGACTGCCGGGCACCCCTCACCCTCATTCTCTCTCCTAGGCTGAGATGCAGGTTCAAGACCAGAGGCTCCTGCTCACCCTGAGGCACCTTCACAGTGTCCTGGAGGAGCTGCGCGCTGAGAGCGCTCACTGGGAGGATGCCAGGTCCAGCAGAGGGACGTCCCCCATCAGAGCTCGAGCAGGCTCCGAAAGCAGGGGCCGCCACCCCAGCTCCTCTAAGGGGCTGGCCCAGCTCCTCCAAGGGGCAGACAGCCGGCGAAGCTCCCTCCCTTGACCAGCTTGCCCAGGACTGAGTCCGGGCTTGAACTCTCCCCTCTGTTTGTCCAAGCTTCTGACTGTGATGTTGATGGGGCAGAGCACTGGAACGGGAGTCAAGGAGCCAGGGCTCTGGGTTCCTCTCTGCCCTCATCTGCTATGCGTCCCTAAATCCATCACTCAACTTGTCTGTGCCACCGGTTCCTTTTCAGTTGCCTCATCGGGGGGTTTTTGTAGGGCACAAATAAGGTGTCACGTGTGAACATGCTTTGAAATCACAAGCAGTAATCCTGCCCTTGGGCATTTCTCACAGGGTGATTGTCAAGACAAAGAAAGAGTTCAATGTGTGCAGAAGGTGTCTGGTGTTGCATGGTGAAAATTAGAGCCACCCCCACCCCCACCCCACAGTGACTCCATAGTTGTTTTCTGTCTTCCCAGAAGGCCTTCCCATTCCTCCCTCCAAAAGCAAAAGGCCCAGTCACCACTCTGGCCACAGGGCTTGGCATGTGAGCAAGCCTGGCCAATAATAATTCATAACCACCCTAATAACATGATTGGCCCAACAGGGGGCATGTGACTCAACAGAGCCAATCACAGCCCTTCTCTGGGATCGCTCTCTGAACGTTCTTTCCACTGCACTTGCAAAGCAGGGGCGGGGCGAGGGGGGCAGATAGGGGCTGCAAATAGCCATGTTCCCTCCCTACCAGGTGAAGGAAACCTGACCTTGGTAGGAATGAAAGAGGTAGAAGGAGGGCCACAGGACAGATGGACAGAGAGGAAGGGGGCTGGCTCTTTTTAGTCCCTGGTGTCAGGCCCTAGTTGTGTGTTACTCCTGCATTCTTTCCAGTGACAGAAACCAGTAAATTCCACCACCCCATCCTCCACCACACACCCCCCCCATGTGTTTCTGCTTAAGCTGACTTGAGTACGGCTTCCCTCCTGTGCAACCGAAACGATCCTGAAATACATAATCCAGATGCTCAAAGAAACAAACACTAAAGAGAAAGGCGTTTTGCTCACTCGGCGTTGGCAGCAACAGCCGTGTAACTGCAGACAACGAGGTTTGAGATGTGGCCGAACACTCAGTCGTATGCAGTGCTGGAATCATGACTTTGACAAGTTATCTGCCTATAAGAAAGACTTTGAAAATAGGCAGGTGAAAATGAAAAGGCCTCGTGTTAAGATGGTCCGATGATTGGTAGGACTTTTCATTTTTGAAAATCGACTTGCATGTTAGAATATTATTTTTATGGCTTTGAAAAAGTAAATGTGTTGTCTACAGATGCAAAGTGTGGGGAGATGTGTTATATGTACAATGCTTCCAGTCAGGCTAACCTGGGATTTTAATACAATACAGTGTCTGAGAATATAAAAAAAGACTTCGGACACCTGGGTGGCTCAGTCGGTTGGGCAGCTGACTTCGGCTCAGGTCATGATCTCACAGTTAGTGAGCTGGAGCCCCACATCAGGCTCTGTGCTGACAGCTCAGAACCTGGAGCCTGCTTTGGATTCTGTGTCTTCCTCTCTCTCAAAAATAAATAAACATCAAAAAAAATCTTTAAAAAATACTTCTCTATCGCCAGCTGAGTGGATAAACAAAACGTGATGTATACATAAAATGGAATATCAGTCGGCCTTGAAAAGGAAGGAAGTTCTGGCACGTGCTACAGCATGGGTGAACCTTGAAGACATGATGCTAAGTGAAATGAGCCGGTCACAGAAGGGCACTGTATGCTCCCAGTTACATGAGGCACCTTGCATAGTCCATCCATAGAGGCGGGGAGTAGAAGGGTGGTCACCAGGAGCTTAGGGAGGGGACAGTGGGGAGTTGGTGTTTAAAGGATCCAGAGTTCCAGTTTTGCAAGATGAGAAAGGTCCTACGGATGGATGGTGGCGGCAGTGCCTAACATTGTGAATACACTTGAGCTGCACACCGAAAAACGGTTAAAATGGTGACTTTTATGTTATATTTTACCACAACTGGAAATAAATACTTAACAAAAATTTTTAAGTGTATTTATTTACTTTGAGAGAGATAGAGTGCGGATGGGGTAAGGGCAGAGAGAGAGGGGAGAGAGAGAATCCCAAGCGTGCTCCGTGCTAGATGTGGGGCTCAAACCCACGAACTGCAAGATTGTGACCAGAGCTGAAATCAGGAGTCAGATGCTTAAATGACTGAGCCGCCCAGGCACCCCTAAAAATAAATACTAAAAAACTACCCGTTCTGTGATGCTGGGTCTGGGACCCCAAAAAACACAGCTCTGCATTAACCAGCTGCTCTGGGTTGGACTTTAGACCTTGCCAGCAAGCGGGGTGAGCCTGGAGAGAAACTGCGGGGCTCCAGCAGAGAGAAAGAACTTGCTTCTTCTTCTTCTTCTTCTTTTTTTAATGTTTTACTTATTTCTGAGAGAGAGACAGCATGAGCAGGGGAGGGTCAGAGAGAGAGGGAGACACAGAATCTGAAACAACTCCAGGCTCTGAGCTGGCAGTCAGCACAGAGCCTGACGCGGGGCTCGAACCCACGAACTGTGAGATCATGACCTGAGCCGAAGTTGGACGCTTAGCCGACTGAGTCACCCAGGTGCCCCAAGAACTTGCTTCTTCATCTCTGTTCTCCTCAGCTGCCTTCATCTCTGCTCCGGCTTCAGGGAGCGCCAGCCAGCCAGCAGTATGTCTTCATCTCACTGCACCAATTCCCTTCTCAAGTCCCTAGATACCAGGCTTGGGGGGCCCCATGCCCAGAGCCAGAGACACCGGCTCCAGATAGCCTGGAGCCTCCTTCCCTAACGCTGAGTTCCCGCCTCATCTTAACCTTCTTTGCCAGACACGAGCCCCAGCTGAGCAGAGCTCCCTTCCCAAAGATCTGAAGTTTACTCCCCAGGGCTCCTCCTCTGTTTCTAAATTTTAATAATTTCAGTCTCTTCTCTTTTTTACCCTCAGCCCTGGGGGTGGTAAATGCTTCCTGCAAGCGCTACCTTCATTATATCTTAGAGTTCTTTTTATAACCCTTTAGTCACCCAGTTAACAGCTATGTACCTAGTTTGCAATTCTCTATATTAAACTCTCTCCCTTAAAATAACTGGGGTGGCTTCTGTCTCCCGCCTGGCTCTGGCTGCCACAGTTCTGGCTATTCCCACCGAGGTTGCTGAGATCCCCGGGGCTCATGGCCCTCGGTGCACGAGAGCGAGAGTTTCTCCAGGGCATGTAACGGAGGGTTGAATTGGAGGTACAGTACAAGAAACGTGTTTCCCACAGTCAGCCACTTACACTCCCACAGCAGCATCTCAGCATCCCTGATGCTCCATATTCTCACCAACACTTGGTATGGTCAACCTTCCTCATTGCTGTCCGTAGAATGGGTGCAAAACAATATTACATTGTGATCTAAACTTGCATGCCCATGATTGCCTATGTGGCTGTTCACCTGAGTTTTCATTCCAGCTCCACAAATTTTTTCAATTTGTTACTCAACCTCTCTGAGCCTCAGTTACTTCATCTGAAAAAAAAAAAACCAAAAAAACAACAACAACAAAAAAGGGACTGGGGTGCCTGGGTAGCTCAGTCAGTTAAGTGTCTGACTTCGGCTCAGGTCATAATCTCCCAGTTTGTGAGTTCAAGCCTTGCGTCTGGCTCTGCGCTCACAGCTCAGAGCCTGCTTTGGATTCTGTCTCCCTCTCTCTCTGCCCCTCTTCCCCTCTCAAAAATAAATAAGTGTTAAAAAAATATATTTTTTAAAAAGGACAATAATATCTACCTCATAGGATGATTGTCAGACTAAATGAGATGATGCACAGAAATCACTTGACCTGGTACCTGCCATCGGAAAGCATGGCAGCATGGCGTTGCTGTTGTGTGATTATGTCCTGCTTTGTGCAACTCGATCACAGAGAGACAGGCTTATTAGCAACCATCACAGAGCGACATATCTGCCTGGCCATGCAACAGAGGAAGACGCTGGTCTGTCATGCCCAGTGCCAACTGCCAGCACCCTCTGCCTCTCCCAGCTTCCTACAGCTGGGGCCCCAGACCAAAACCCCCCTGGGGGCTGCACCTCTACCAACCTAGGAAGAGAGCCCCGGAGCCCCCAGAGTCTGCCCCTCTGCTGGGGTTTTTTGCTGTTCTCCAAGACTCCGCATCCAGAACCGATGTTCAGTTCCCGATCCCCGGTCAGAGCAAACTCTGACTGAGCCCCATGGCTGGGGCTCCGGGGCTTCGAGTGGACGTGGCGTCTTCAGCACGGGCTCCTAGAGGGCTGGGCTGGAAATCACATATTCCAGGACAGACGGTAAGCACCAGAGGGAGCATGTGGATCGTGGTCTCAGAAAGGAAAATCCAGGCTTTCCTCTGCTGAAGCAGCAAACACAGGACTATACACCCAAGCCTTGCATCCAAGGGTGAGAGGATGTGATGTGAAAAAGAATTGATGAGATTGGAAGCCAAAAATGAGGAGCAGGAAGAAGAGCCTGGAGGATGTGACAGCCAGAGTGGGTTAGGGCAGGCAGCCCAGGACTTAACACTGTGACGAATGCGAAAAGGCCAGAGGCTCACCTTTACATGACACCAGCTTCTAGTCCTGGGCCAGGCATGACACCTTGCAGAGCCCAGGCATTCTGGCTGTCTTCTGGCACATAACAAACTGCCCCCAGATGTGAAACAACAACGATCATTTTATTACTGCAACAACCCGTCATTATCACGGTAGAGCGTTATTTCCCACGCTTCTGGGGATTGACGAGGCTCAGCTGGTGGCTCTTGCTGGAGGTCCCTCAAATGGTTGCAGTCAGATGGTGGCTGTGGCCCCGTTCATCTCAAAGGCTTATTCATGTGTCTGGCAGCAGATGCTGGCTGCTGCCTGGGACCTTAGCTGGGGCTGTACACGTGACCCCTCCGTGTGGCCTCATAGCATGGTGGCTGACACCAAGAACAAGCATCCAAGCAGAGCCAAGAGGAAACTCTATGGCCTTTCTATTGTAGCTTTGGAAGTCACACGATGTCACACATACTGCATTCTGTGCAGTA